TATATATATATGTATATAACAATATATTATGTAATATGTAAGACTGATTGATATATAATTAGAATCTTCTGGTTTGTTCATTTTTAACCACAAATTTTTCTCGGAGTATTGCAATTATTTTTATAGCACAACAAAATTATTTTCAAATCTATATTAACTAAATTTTTAAATACTTAGTAAGATCATTCTTTCAGAATAACTATATAATTTTTTAGATCGATTTTTTATGTATTTTTTATGAGGCTATATTAATTGATAATCTTTTAATAAATACTATTATGTACTTGTATCTATATCAAAATATATCTAATATATGAATACAAAATAAATAATTTTTAAAAATAATAACATTAGGAAAAACTGAGAGAATTAATAGAACGTAGCAGACATAAATGCATAAATATTACGAGGCAACATTAAATAGAACAAATTAGCACCTGCAGGGATGCGTTCCAAAACTCGACTCTATCAACTCCGAGTATCTTTTATCCTTGTTCAACATTCGGTGAAGAACAAGGATAAAATGATTCTTGGGTTAAAAGAGTCGAGTTTTAGAACGCATCCCTGATAGGTCTCTAAAAAAAACGAATGTATCTAGTTTCGACGTTAATTTTTCAGGAAGATCTGAATTCAGGGTAAAAGTGACTTTGACTTACCTCCCTAGACGTCGGTGCCCCCAGGACGCAGGGGCTGTCCGGGCGGCGGGGCGCACTGGCCCACCGCTTGCTCGAGAGCTCGCTCTCCTCCTGAAACAATAAACGCGACCTGTAATTAGACAAGATGAAGGTAAAGGTGATAGGCGGCGGGGTCTGATGAGCGCTATTATGGCAATCGTAATGGCCGCCTGGAAACAAAATTGCTCTTTGCAGAAAATTAGCGAGATAGAAAGGGCTCAAAAAGGGTGAAGGCGAAATAGTCGCAACATAGATCGTGGGTAGTTCTAAACACTATGTGTATACGTCATGAAAAGACCATGTTGCAATTTATTTAATATCTCATCAAAAATAATAGATCTATTGTCAGAATAATAAGCAACGAAAAAGAAATTTATCTTAAAAATGTATAAAAATTAAAGATTTTCATGTTTATTTCATTATTTTGAAGATTAAGTAAAGAATTTTAACCTTTAACATACGATTTGGTTGCTCGTGTTCTGCACATTTCTTTTCTCCGAAAAACTAGGAGCATCAAGTAATTATAGTTATAACACACACACATATTTATGTATAATTTTTTAAATACACAACCTTACAAATACTTTCTAAAAATATTAAAGTATATAGAGTATAAAAATTTTAAAACTTAATAATTTTTGTATATTTATTAAAGATGAAAATTAATCCAGGGCACGAAGACCCATTGTGTAATAAAGAACCGGAAAATCATCGTGTGTATTAAGAGTTAAAATCGAAAGTATCTAGACGTGCATGTTTGATCTCCTTTTGAACTCACATGGCGAGTAATAATTACAGATCACGTAATCATGCTGCCGAAGATTACCATATGTGTAACTTTAAATAAGTATGATACGATGTACAGGAGAGCGAATGTTGGCACAGGTTTCATTTCAACGTGTTCTGTATGAATGAAGTATAGCAACCGCAAATTTACGCACGCTTTCGCTTGTCAATCGACGAACCACAAATCGACTCACATTGCAATTACATCCACCATCGAATATCATGATGATCAAGACCCGTTAATACTCTCGCGTCTGTCTTGCCTTTAATTTCGACTTCCTTGAATGGAAGCTGTACACCAGGTGCGACGACACGATACTTATTAACGGTAAATGTATTGCAAGATATAAATCAATTGTCAAATTAACAATCATTTCTCACAATAAATGAGTAATAAAATATTTCTTGTTTCTCCACAACACCATTTAGCATTAATATAGAAAGTGGCTAGTCATTATTTTTTATATGGAATTAAAATACCATCATAATTAATGGAAAATATTATATTATAATATAAATGACAGTAATTAAGGTAATAAATTAGTTATATTCATAAAAATAAAAGTAAAGAAGAATATACCTATAAATAAAATCGTCGTAATAAAGTACATAATTTTTATTAAAAGAATAATGGAAACGAAGAATAATGTTTTAGAATACTTGGAACAATATCTTTTCTTCCACGTATAGCAAGGTAAATCAATGCAATATATAATTTAGAATAGTGTTCTGTGACACGATTAAAGGCTCGAGGCACGAAATGGCAGGACAACGCTAATGGATCAATTATGCGAGTCGTTCGGAACAAAACAGAGATTCTAATTGTAAGAGAGAGAATCCTTTATCTTCTTCTTCTCTCGAATTTACCACACAGCGTGTCAGAATAATTAAAATTACATTTCACAACACGAATTCTCCTTGATTTGACTTGTTTTAGAGTGCTGATTGATATTAAATTTCAATAAGTATTCCATTATACTGAATTATATAAATTCAATATAGAGTTTTGTACAAGTTTTAAAAAGTGCCAAATTATAATCAAAAACTATAATTTGTATAAAAGTGTATAAAAAAATGAATTTTACACGGATTTGAAAGTGCTAAATCGTAAAAAAATATAACAATCAATCAAAAATATAACCAGTATATTAAAAATGAATTTTATACGAATTTTAAAAGTGCTGAATTGTAACATCGATTAAATAACTGTTGTGACAGAAAAGAATGGAATATAGTTACGGAATGAACCGGTTGAAATAACATGATGAAATTAATTCAAACTGTAGAATGTTATTTTGTTTGTACATACCAAGTACATACGAGTTACGATAGTAACTGGCGCAATAGCGGTTGACACAATCCGGCACGGTGTTTCATCGTGAAGACGACGGGCGTCTTTCGGCGATCCTGCGCGGCGCGCACACGCGAGCGCGGTTATTAAAACGTTAAAACAATTACGGCTCGGCTCGTGACATATACAAGCTGAGGAAAAAGCATGGCAGAGAAGAGAGAGGGAGGAGGAGAGGGGGAGGAGAGAGAGAGAGAGAGAAAGAGAGAGAAAGAGAGTTAGAGGCAGCGGCGAGGAATAATAATTGCGCCATCGTTTCTTGCCATCTCAACCGTATGTACGACAAACTGCGACGACACCCGCGACAAGCGAAGGCGACGATGCATTATGTGCCCTCGGCCGCACCGCTCGCTCTCGCGAAAGGCGAGACCACCCGCGTTCAATGCGACAATGAAACAATCACGAGATACAGATTCGAGCGAGTGATCGACGGTGGGAACACCGCGTTATTCGCGCAGTTTTACGTCTACGACTTTGGCTTGCGCAATGCTTGGCACGTTAATTGGCTGCTTTTTCATGACGCGATTTCTACGAGAGTCTTTTATATTTTTTCAGTTAAAATCGAAATATATGTTAATTTTTTAAACACATATTTTTTTAACTTTTTTATTATCTTTCACTTTAAAAGTGGAACTCTATATTATGAGATATCGAAGAAGTAATAGTATTCATTTGAGTTAAATAATATTTTGTTATTTTTAATTTCATATATGTCAAAATACAAATCAATCCATTTCTGTGATTGAATTGCTTAGTTTCAAAGTAAACATATCAAGCATTTAGTAAATAATAAATTAAATATTTTTAGTCAAATTTAATACTTTAATTTAATTTTCTCAAGTTAAATTAATAACTCTGTTGTTTTAGTTAAATCAATGACATATTGAGATCAATGACGATCTATAAAAATAACTCAAATTGTGTATAATTTGACATTATGAATTTAATAGTTCAATTTCAAAGAAATAATTTTGCACCCGTTTTTAAGTTTGCTTCATAAAAGTATTATTATTACTACATTGAACAGATTACATTCTTATTGATAATTGATAATTCTCATTTCTTATTGATAATTCAGCGCGCAACCATGCTAAATTTATGAGACTCCGTTCTTGCAAAGGACAAATTAACTCGTTTCTTCGTCATAAAGCTATGTGATTTAGAAGCGTAGCTAAAGAAACGAAAATGGATTGCGTACATACGTTATATCGCACGATCACCGCAAAGCGCATTCACAAAACGCGTGAAGCGTCATTATCGTCTCCTTATTATTACATATTGCATTATTACAACGCACGTCGCGACAGACCCCGTATTACTTTCGCCGGATTTCTCCTATTTTCCGTAATGCCGTGAGATTGCGTCGCGGAAATTGAAATTGGCGGCGTCTTTGGACACACCGAACGTATTGAAACGCGCACCGAATGCGCAAAAAAAAAACCGGCACTGATCCAGATTCATCAAGAACGAAAGTTCGCGGGAAAACGACGATTTACGCTTCCGCGATGATAACGAGAACGTGCACAAAGCGGTTCATGTCTCTCCCGACCCGGTACGATGACCCACAGTATACAATTTAATATGGGATCCGACATGCCACTTACACGGCACGTCGCGTCGCTCGTATTACAATGTCGTTATTTGGATTTGCGTGGGCGCCACGTATAAACTCGCTGATAGAAATGTGAAACATCGCGAAGCTAGTTCCGCAGTTCTGCATCCAAAAAGGGATACGAGCTAAATGCATTCTCAGGGGCCTTGCGTTCAGCACGTGGATGCGCGTTTCTGCGATGTACTTTATTTAAGACAGGTAACGATGGAAACGTTACGCCTAAGCCGTATATCTTGCTGATGATATAAACCTAATCTTGAAAATCTTATTAGAAAAGACACATTACTCTAAATTATACTTACTCATACCTTACATAAACCTGGGAGAACGCTTTCAGTTTAAATAAGATTTAGCTACACGTCATTTGAATTTAAATGAGAGGTTCAAAGAACGTAAATACTGTTTGCTTTTCTTATTTTTCATTATACAGTCAGAGAAAAAAAAACAGAATGGTATAAGGTGATAACTATAAAGGTGATAACTGTTTAATATGTACACTTAATGTATATAAATGATTAAACTATTTCATACCTTGTAAATTCTTTAGAGCAGAATTTACTTTGAACTTATTTTGAAGAGTGAAAATTGAGCCAGAGAAAGAGTGGTTCAATTTTCAAATTGGTTGTTAGAATGTTAAAACTTTTTGCATTATTGCCATCATCAACGATTAAGCGTTCTAATTATTTTAATCCAACAACATTATTTTCAAATCTGTATCTATAGCCAAATTTTTAGATACTTCAGCAAAATCGTCCCTGCATTATGTAAAGTCTATTATTTCATACGTGCGTTGATTAATAAGCAAAAGATTTCCCTCGCATACAGCAATCCAACTATTGCGTAGGATTCAATTTATCGCACTTGAGAATTCAATTTATACGATCAACCCTTAGAATAAATGATGGTTTTATTTATATTAAAAGATACAGACTTTCTGGACGTATTTATGATTTCGTGGCACGAATCCACATCGCCCACGCCACTAAAACCGACTCTTGAAATATTCGCCACGATAGAGCACGCGATTTACCTCGCGCTTTTGCACAGTTATCTCGCTTCGCAATGATAGAAGGAGTCCTTATTAACAGAATGCATTAAAAATCCGAAGAAAATCACGACAATCTGCCCTATTTTAAGTGCAGTGCGATAGATAGAAGATTACAGTTGGGTAAACAACTCTTTTAAACGCTAAACGAGATTAAGACGTTTTAATAAGACGAAAATAACACCGTTTACGCAAACACAAACATCATTAATACCGGATCGACAATTACGTGCAAATTAGACTGCACTTAAGAGTCATTGAAGAGACGTGAAACAGGAATTTTTCATTTAATTCTTCAGACCTGATTTTTGGAATGACGTGAAAAAAATTTTTTTTAATTCAATTCAAGATGCTTTAAGAAGTAATTAATTCTAAACAA